GGGGGTGGGCGAGAGGGCCAGGGGGTGGGCGAGAGGGCCAGGGGGTGGGCGAGAGGGCCAGGGGGTGGGCGAGAGGGCCAGGAGAGTGGGCGAGAGGGCCATAGAGCCTCTGGACCACTGTCAGATTCAACATTACAGCAGCACCAACGGGTGTGTGCCACTGCGCTGTCACCTGACGGCCCACACACATGACCCAGCAGGCAGGGCCCAAGAGCCAGAGCTCACGTCCCTGTAAGCACTAACAGGTAAGACCTGCCCCACCTTACAAAACACGTCTTAAAATCAATGAAGGAAAAGACCGAGGAACACAAATTACCACAACAATGCGTCAATAAAAGGCGCGCACAAGTGCTTTGTGCTTATCTGAAGCATAACGAACTTTAACGGTAAAAATTTAAATGAAACTTGACGGGTCATTGATGTAGCGGAGATCTCTCTAGGCTCCCCCCCTTGCTCGCGGAGACCCCCCCCCCCTCCCCTCCCCTCCCCTCCCCTGCAGAGCGAGCGAGAGAGAGAGCGAGAACAAGAGGTGAGCGAGATTAAATGAGAGCAAGAGAGGTGTGTGATATAGCAGGAACGGAGGAAGTGAACCAACAGGAACAGAACAAAACTGTGCAGAGGACCACGAAAGCTGACGTTGCAAGATAAAGGAGAAAGCAAGCCGCTACAAACCCCCCCCCCCACCTCCCAGTAGTCCTGCAGAGAGAACAGCAGACCAGACGGCCGGATAACATACAGGTCACACTGCCGCGCGATGAGAGCCTGCAGAGAGGCTCAAGAGGGCCACAAGCACCGGAAGGAGGCAGGACAAGCAAGCTTGCAACATGCAAGGGTCTATCTTTGCCCAAGAGCGGGGTAATCAATGCCCCAGTGAGTCACGCCCGCTCCACGAATAACCGGCCCAAGGTCACACTCAATCAATACGGCTGCGTCAGCGTCGCGACGCACGTGCTATTGCGCGTCGCTGGCGATACTGGCAGCGGGGCAGGTGGGCGGCCGCCTTGACCACCTGCAGATGCGTACGATACCGCCTTGACCACCTGCAGATGCGTACGATACCGCCTGGACCACCTGCAGATGCGTACGATACCACCTGGACCACCTGCAGATGCGTACGATACCGCCTGGACCACCTGCAGATGCGTACGATACCGCCTGGACCACCTGCAGATGCGTACGATACCGCCTGGACCACCTGCAGATGCGTACGATACCGC